TCCCCCCCATTTTGCAATATTTTAGTTTTATTTCTTTTTCTTCATTTATCTCAAAAGTAAGACTGTACAACTCATATAAAGTCGTATAAAATCACATAATTACCCAAAAAATCACATTAGTCAACTGAAAACCACTTTTCACACTTTAACACAAATATAAGTCTATTTATCACGAGTTAAGGCTAAAACTATATTATTTACTAATTATTAACTCATGATAATCAAGACTTATCACCATACTAGTTGATTCTCCTTAGTTCATAGTCGGAGATTTCAACTGCATACATAGAGTCACTGAACGTTAAAGGCAACGAGTCTCTTAGGTCTATCACATAGAGATGTTTAATGATTTTATTTTTCGCGTGGCCTTCATCGAGCCTCCTATTTTTGGCGAGGTCTAGATATAGTGTAACAAGAGACAAAGAGACACAATGATATATGAGCGCATCGATTACTGCTTCACTAATAACATTGCATTAGTGTAATGTCCCATATTAGTCACGCTCTTATCCCACTATAAGTCAGATCTCACGTCAATTCTTATTGTCCCTAACTCGAGAGCTAGTATCCTTAGACCCTCTTTTAAGTTTCAGAATATATGAATTCGGCACAAAGGCTTCTAAAACTTCGTGCGTAGTCATTGACATGAAGATATCTCTGACTCTACTTTAGAATACGCCAATTCCATCATTTAAGGTGAAATTTTAGATTCTTGAGGTTCTCTATAAGAGAGTCAGAGATATCTCTGTGCCAATGACTCTGCACGAAGCTCTAGAAGCCTTCATGTTGAGTCCATATATTTTGAAACCTAAAAAGGGGTCTAAGAGTACTAACTCTCAAGTCAGGGAGAATAAAGATCAACGTGTGATTTGACCTATAATAGAGTAGGAGCGTGACTAATATGGGACATTGTACTAATATAATGTTATTAGTGAAGCAGTGATCGATGCACTCATATATCCTTGCACCTCTTTGTCTCTTGTTGCACCACGTCCAGACCTTGTCAAAAGTAAGAGGCTTGATGAGGGCTGCGTGAAAAATAAAATCATTGAATGTCTCCATGTGAAGAGCCCGAGGGACTCACCCCCCTTGACATTTAGTGATTATACGTAGGTAGTTGAAATCTTCAGTTATGAATCAAGAAGAATCAACTAGTATGAGATAATCCCGTTTATATCGTACTAGGTCTTCCCAAAGAGTCTCACGGTCTTGGTGTCTATGTGAAGTATAAACAACAGAGAATATAAGCTTTTGGCCAGAGTTAAGTACCCTCATCGTGACATGTTGTGGCCCCTCAATGAGCAATTATAGAGAGTAAGATATCTTCCAAAACAACCAGATGTAGTTTGTAGGGTTAGAGTGAAAATGATCAACACCTAAGCATCTAAACAATAGATAGATATGATTTGATGGAATCATTAGTTCAATAAGCCCGACTAGGCATAGTCAGTGTTTATTGATAAGTTCAGTAGTATAAAATTGTGTTTTGAGGTTGCCCAACCTTCGACAGTTCCAAACAAAGCTAGGTATCATGTGTACCATCGACTGCCTCCGTTTGGTATCCTCTCTCAAGGTTGAAGCACTCAGTAGAATAGTCAGATGAGGTCTCAGATATAGAGTCCTCAGCACTCAATGTAGAGCGCCCACTAGTGTCTACCCCTGAGGATGATAAGGAGATGACTCGACAATTTATCGAGTATTCTCTCCTACTAGGGCTCGTTGAAGTGTCATCAGTCGCTAAGCCTTGTTTAGGATCGCGCTATATCAAAGTCTCTAGAAGTATGGTCAAAGGAGGATCTGGAGGGTGGGGTGGAAGATAATGGGGGTTAGAAGGAGAAAGACATAGGGGATTTGATGGGGAGGTGCCTATTAGGGTCATATCAAGGACCCCATTAGGTGATGGAAAAGGCTGAGAGGATGTGCAATGGGTAAAGTGGAAAGATGCAGTGCTAGGTAGTGGGTTGCGAATAAGTGATGAAAGACGAGTGACTAGAACGGGTGTAATGAGTAAAGTGGAGCTTTGACATTATAGAAGAAATAAGTTTAAGAGGTCTAATGAGTGGAGAGAGGCTAATCGATGATAAAGTAGGAGTAATAGTTCCCCGTTTAAGAGAGTGTCGTCAAACTCGTGAGTTGTTGTCTTTCTTTATAATGGAAATACTATCAATCTTTTCAATGAAAGTACTTATAATATCAAAAACATTCAATGTCTTGACTATCTTTCCTATACTTACTGGCACAAAAGGTGAGGCTCTTGTTACCGTTTTCCTCTATTTATGGGTGGAAGTAGATGCTTGAGAGATGAAATGTGTCATCAGAGTAGGTAGAAGTATTTTGTGAGAACTTGTCGATGGGGTACTAGTTTGGAATGATAATGGTCGGGATGAAATATGTGAGGTCGATGTAGAACGACGACTAGAAATACTCTTCTATACATTAACAAGATAATCATTATATGAGAGGAATGGTAAGTGAATAGAAGTAGACCTTGAGAGTAATAAAGTATTTTTTTTTCGACATGTGTGAATAGTATGTCCAAAAACCATATAGTGTATGCAAAAATGAAATAATCTCTTATAGATAATGGTTTGGTAGATTTTCTCATCCGCATTCTACACAATAATTATGCATTGAAGGAGGGCTAAGAGGTCTACCTCTACATATATGCGGGCATATCTTAGACGATTGAACATTTTAATGTCTGAAACTAGACGTATAAATATTCCAACTATATTTGCCAAGGATTCAAGTGCCTTAGATGTGAATAGATGTGTTGATAAACTCGAAAAACTTATCCAAATTAGAGTAGAGTGGGATTGTTTCCCTCGAGAGGTGCCGTCAATATATGGGGTCCATCTATGAGTGTACATACTAGTACTTTAAATCTCCCATGTGATCCGGCTCTAGACTTTCTAATAGTTAATCTCGAATTCAAATCAGATGAAGATGTTCCGGTAATCACGAGTGTCAATGACTACATTTTTCTGAAAGTATCTAAAGCCAAATATATTTTTTGGATGTTTTCTAAGTGGGGACATTTTGTGGTAAAACGTCTAATCAATATAAATTAGAATGCCTCAGTCAATTGAGAGACATAATTCGAAGAGAATGAGACTATTCTCATTTCTTCTTCTTCAATGTAACATCATGGTAAGAGGTTCATGGTGTAAATAGAGAGTAGGCTGTACTCTTATAAGTTACTGGGCCTAAGTCTTGGCTGGGGTTTGAGTAGGTTGGGCTGACATATTAGGTGTTTGTATGGGCTGGGCTAGTATGACTTAGGTTTGAGCCTGAATTTGGACTGTTTCTGTCCACATAGGTCCTATTTTGACAGTAACGGGCCGTCACATGTAACTGGGCCCGCACATCTTTAGGTTTTGTGGCCTTCGGTGCCGCTGCCTCAGCCTGAGCGGGCACCGTCACCGTCAGCCTCCGCTAGCGGGGACGCGTTCGGTGCCAGGACCGAGGTAACGGCGTCAGCAGAATGCGGCGCCTTTATCTCGGTTCCCTCTGTCCGTTGATCTCAAGATCAACGGACAGATCAAGAGCCGATTTCGAGAAAAGTCCGTCAGCTGACGCCTTTTTTCCGGAAGCTGACGAGTCCGCGTCAGCCTCCGCTGGGGGAGACGCTGTCGTCAGCCTTCGCTGTCGACCGCCCTCGTTAACCTCCGCTGGGGGGACGCCATGGGTACCAGGACCGAGGTAACGGCGTCAGCAGAATGCGGCGCCTTTATCTCGGTTCCCTCCTGTCCGTTGATCGCAAGATCAACGGTCAGATCAAGGAGCGATTCCGATGAAGGGCCGCCACCGGACGCCTGTTTTCCGGACGCTGACGAGTCCACGTCAGCCGACGTCGCCCCGACATCTGCCGCCCTTTCCTCTCGTCGATCCTTGATCTCGCGATCAACGGGGAGGTCAGGGGAGACGGCGCCACGTGCCGTCTGCTCTTTCCCGCAGAGCGAGGGAATGGCCAAGAGCCATCCCTTCGTTCTTGAGGCGGCCGTTCCGCCCATTGACGGGTCCGATTTTCGGGCCATCAATAGGCCCCTCGGATGACGTTTTATCGCCGCCCGAACGGACAGGTCGCCCTTCGGGCATGTCATGCGGCGGTGTAGGAACCGTCGTCACGACGTGGCGGTTTCCTATTCGATCGCATGCTTCCCTCATTTTTTCATCCGGCGGACACGAGTTCGCCGATGAAATCTCTGATTTACGCATCAAGTAAGCATCAGATCAAAATGATGAAGAAGAGAAAATGTAGAGCACAGAAATGCGATTCAAATGATTTAAAAATATTAAGTTTTGGCCGAGTAACTAGAGAGATATTACCTTTAGAACGAAATGTCCGAAAAAATACCTCTCAATGAAAAAATCGTGACAACGAAGGCTTCAATCCACTATTTTCGACGATTCATAGCTCGAACTTGATATATTTTGGCCTTCCCAATCCAATGGAACTGGTTTCAGCGCAATCGGAAGTCACACGAGAGAGATATCGCCATCTGAAATGGAGGTCAGTTGAAGGTGAAGAGAGAGAAGCTCCCGCGAGGAGAGAGAAAAAAGTTAGGCAAATGGCGGTGGGTTTTCGGGTTTACGGTTTAGGGTTTAAGCTTTTAGGGTTCTCTTTTTTTTTAATTTTTTTTTAAATTTAATGCTATAAGTTTCACCTCATTCTGAGATTACATCACTAACAATGCACGGTGTCCCCAACAATACGTCATTAAACCCTAAAAGAGAACCGTATGCACGGTGTCCTCACACTTTTGGATGGGGAGGAGGAAGACTAATCCACTTAAGACTCGTATGCACGGTGTCCCCAACAATACGTTTAACCCGTCGAACGTCCGACTTTACCGAGCTGGCTTTGATTTTCCCAAGATACGGCTATTAAATTAGCTATTAATTTTGACTCGTGTCGGCGCATTAATGGGCCGGCTTGTGGCCCCTATAAAGCCACCACCTTAGCCAAGTTAGTAAGCCATTCTGAAGTACTCCCCGTCATGGGATCTATGAGAGCTATCGTCTTCTTTTTCTTCTTCATCTCCCCGCTCAACCCCATCTCCACCGCAACAGTGCCGCCGCTCCCCAGGATAAAGGCGGTAAATTTGGGTGGGTGGCTCCTTACCGAGGGATGGATAAAGCCGTCCCTCTTCAATAACATCACTAACAATGATCTCCTGGTGAGTCTTATTATTCTTCCAATTCCATCCGGTGCTCTATTGCTGGCCTATCCTGAGATCGGATTGAAATGGGCGGCAGGATGGAACCCAAGTCCAGCTGAAGTCCGCCTCTGTTGGAAAGTACCTCAGCGTCAAGAACGGTGGCGGGGAAGTCATCCTGGCTAATCGGGATAGCGCCTCTAGTTCGAAGACCTTCATAGTAGGTGATTTACTTTAAATCAGCATCTGTTAGAATGGCACTCCGCATTCCGAATATCTATTAGAATGAAAGATGGTGCAGAACAAAAGTCGCTAACTTGATGATTCCGCATGAAATCACAGTTATGGAGGGTCGACTCGACCCACTTCCAGTTCCGGGTGTTCTTGAAGCAATTTGTCGGCGTGAACGCCAGCAGCAGCGCGGTGGCTGTGGCAACAATGCCGGGCCTCTCGGAGACCTTTGAGATCGTAAGGAGTACGGGGGACTCCAATCGAATCCGCATCAGAGCACCCAATGGCCTCTTCTTGCAGGCCAAATCAGAGAACTCGGTGACCGCGGACAGCGACGGCAACGGCAGCTGGGGAAATGACGACCCGTCGGTGTTCTTAATGAAGACGATTGGGACTATGCGAGGGGAGTACCAGTTAACCAACGGCTACGGGCCCATCAAAGCCCCCGCGGTCATGAGGGTAAGGAAGAAGGAGACTCTCCTCCCCTCTCTTCCTTATTACTGAAGAGCTACACAAACGATGGCTGTTTTGATGTTTCCATCGCAGAAACACTGGCGGACGTTCATTGTTGAGGAGGACTTTATGTTTATGAACGACAATGGACTTAACGCCGTTAGGATTCCGGTGGGGTGGTGGATCGCCAGCGACCCTACTCCACCGGCACCATATGTAGGCGGGTCCCTGGCGGCTCTGGACAACGCGTTCACGTGGGCAGAGTAAGCGAAATTAAAGCTCTGATACAGAAGGGGTCCCTGCCGAATGGGATCCAGGAAATTTCCCTTCATTCATGGACGATGTCGACGTGGTTTCCCTGTGTCCAGGAAGTACGGCCTGAAGGTGATCATCGACCTCCACGCCGCCCCCGGTTCCCAGAATGGTGATGAGCACGGCGGCGGTAGAGACGGGAGCGTCGAGTGGGGAGTCGCCGGTAGCGGCAACGTAGAAAAGACGGTGGCTGTCATCGAGTTCCTCACCCGGAGGTCTAATAATTGCTACAATTGATAATAACGTCGAAACTCGTATGATCGGAGAAATTATTCTAATCGCAAAAGATCCGCTGGCAGGTATGCTGCAAGACCCAACTTGATCGCAGTGGAGCTCATCAACCAACCGAAGGCAGAAATGGTCGACTTTGATACCTTAAAGAGCTATTACCAAGCCGGCTATGACGCCGTGCGCAGGCACACAAGTACCGCCTACGTAATCTTCTCCACCCGGTTGCACGGTGACGCGGGGGGGTTCATTTCGTTCGCCAGCGGCCTCGACCGCACCGTCCTAGACATTCACTATTACAACCTTTACTTGAGCAAGTTTGATGGATGGACGGCGCAGCAGAATATCGACTATGTGAACAACCAGAGGGCCAACGAGCTCGCCTCCATTACCAACTCCAATGGCGGCCCCCTCTCCTTCGTCGGTAAGAGTCCCTACAGCCGAGTCGCCTTGTCCGTTGGAATAGTCTCTTTTACATTTGTCACCATTCTCCGCCGCCGTCACGGCTGCAGGGGAGTGGGTCGCCGAGTGGAAAGTGGTAAACGCGTCGGAGGAAGAGTACCGGAGGTTTGGGGAAGCGCAGCTGAATGTCTTCGGTAGGGCCTCCTTCGGGTGGGCCTACTGGACCTACAAGAACGTGGACAACCACTGGAGCCTCAAGTGGATGATCACCAACGGCTATATATCCCTAGTAAAAACCTCGAATATTGCTGTTTGTTAACGGAATAATGGCGAGCAATTTCTTTGTTTTTGTCTCGTACGACTTCCTGCCCTCTGTCCTCTCCGCCCCTGTACCCGTTTTTGAATAACATTCCATTTCACCTGTCAATGGGCCCGGCTGTTGAGGTCAATGACCGGTTACAGAAACACAGCGGCGCCCATGTGCATCCGCATGATAAGAAAAATTGAGGGCGGGAAGGATAAACCCAGACCAAGGCACGGACCAAAGTATTTACGTGGTTACGTCCACGGGGGACGGCGAGAATGGGATCTTCACAAGATGTCAAGAAACTCTCACCATCAGCACAAAGGAAAAGGCGTACCGTCCAAGAAGCTCTCACCTGTGTTCGAGAGAAACAGGCAGCGCATTGCGAGAAAGTTCTCATCTCTAACCCGGAGAAACAGGCAGCGCCGTGCGAGAAGCTTTCCCTTCTAACCCAGAGGATTAGGCGTCTCCGTCTTCTTCTTTGCGCCAACATCTAAGCTTAGCTCTCTTTGTCTCTCCCTAGCGTTTCTCATGGTCTCAGTAGGCCATCTCGGATGACCCAAGGGCGGCAGGAAAGGTCCACGCCAATAAAGGTGGACGACGGTCTATTTCTGTGTGACACAGGGCTAACTTAACATCCAATAACCCTTGTCGTCACCCACGGGGGTTATACACTCAATTTCCCACTCACAGACCCGCCATTGCACCCCTCTATATGGATGGCCCAGCCTTCCACAGAGCCAGAGAATCTCAGAAAGTTGGCACAACATATGGCACAAGCCCATTGATGGCACGGTATGGGCACCAACCGGCGTCGATATGTGCAGCTTGAATAGCGCCTTTCTGTGCCTGCAATACGCGAGAACCTCAAACTACTTGGAATGGCTTGTGGCATGGCAATATGTATGCACGATGTGCATAACGCCTCTAGGCCTCTCTACACATGGAAGAATAATGTTACCCAAGGCATAGTCAACTTGCATGGCATTGTTGTGTATGAGATCCAACGGAATTTACCCCAGCAGCATGGCTTCCGTTGTAAAAAAGGACATCTGGTCAGGAATTGGTGCTTCGTGTATAAATAATACAAGCAATTAGTTTAAAAAAATCATTAACTAACATTTAAGAAATCACATTTGAGAAATTGTGAATGATCAAAATAGAACTATATTTTTATTGAAAAATTAGAATCAATTTTGCGCTTATTTTAGAAATCAGATGAGGAACATCAAACAAACTGTAAAACATGTAAGTGGTCCATATTCATGTTCATATTTCAGTTGATTAAAAATATTTTACATGCATGCTAGCATCATTTATAAGCAAAGATCTAAAAATCGGCCCAACACCTTTGCAAAAAGCCTTCCAAAAGACTTCGAAGATTGTCATTTGTTATGATTTTTATTAGATTAGAGAATGTATATACAATCTCAATTTCATTTATTGACTTGATCTCAAAATAGAATTGCATGTCTCAAAACACTGCATTTGGAAATGGATTCAGCCGTTATTAGATTTTGAGAAAATAGGAGAAATAGTGAGTGAGTGAGAGAGAGAGAGATAGAGAGAGAGAGATGCCTTCCATGTCCTCCTTTATTTTCCTAGTTCAAGCTAAATATTACATCATTGGGTGCTAAAATATAACAAAAACTAACAATGCTTGGGTCTTCACCTAATAAAGAGCCAACAACTTTATGTATATATGTTCTCTATTTGAATGAATTCTGAGAGCTTTGCCAAGTTTATTATACCAGTATCATCACACAAATTTGGTAGTTTAAAATCTTGAATTTGAGATTTCCTCGATATAAGTTGAGCATAACATCATCCAATGGCAGTATATTCTAACCTTTATTCCGGATAAGGAAACAAGTTCTTTTATTTGAACCTATATTATTGGAAATCCAAGAATAATTCGTGCCCTAGTTCTTCTCTTTTGATCATTTTTATTTTCTAAAATTTTCAAATCACTAAATGTATCCAGATTCATCGCATAGTTCTCATCTTATTTACTTGGTAGTGATGAATTAGATGGCATACGAATTTTAATAATAGTCATAACTTAATAGGCTAGTCATTTGGTTGTGTTTGATTGAATAATTTATCTGGGAATATTCCAAGAATAAGTTTAACGTGGTCTTAAAACTTGGGAATCTATAGCGGAATATTTTATATTGAATAATAATCTATATTATCTCTATATTTTTTCTTAATTTATTTCACATTAGATGAAGTTGAAACTGCTTTAATGATTGGGCCTAAATTAAGTTCAAAATGATTTCACTGTTGGTCATAATTGAAGGGATATTTGTCTTCTTATTGGTGGTAATTTAAAGGGAGCAATGCATCCAATTAGTGGGCTTAATATTAAGGATCCGAAATGTTTATATTCTGAATTATTATTTTATGACGCAGTAACTATTCTCTCGATTATTTTTAAATATAAAGACTCTCTTCTCCCTCCTGTGATGAATGAACGACGCAGAAAATCACGGAAGAATTAAGAGAAAAATGGATTGAAAATCTCGACGAGGGATCGCGAACGAAGATGAAAATTGAACGGAAGACCGTGACAAAGACCCAAGGAGAAAATGAGGAAGAAACGGAAGAAATTTCTCGACAGAAAACAACAGAAGAACAGGGAATAACCGGAAGAAAACTCGCGACGGAAGTACGAGGAAAATGCGGTATAATCGGAAGAGAATTACTAGGGTAAACAATGGACGAATTATGAATTACAGACGGAAGATCGCGACGGAAATTGGACGAGAAATCCAGACAGAAATCATCGGACGACGGAAGAATAAACAGAAGAAAAATCACGACGGAAAGGGAGAACGAATGCGGAAAAACAGACATGAAATTCTCACCAGAAGAAAAAGCACTTTTGATGACCACCCGGTGAATGCTCTCCTCTCTCACAAGCTCTGAAAAATCGAATAAGGAGATCGACTCATGCTGCCCAGAAAAACGAAGAGCTCAACGGCCCAGAGATCGACTCCTCCAGCTCCTTCTACAGAGACTCCAGCTTAGGATCCATCAATTTGGGCCCACCGAGGCTCTAATACCAATTGATGGGCTCCTATTCACATGAGCGAAGACCAAATCTCCACAACCGGCTGACTGATGCCTGCCGCCAAGGGAGATCTTGTGGACTAGGAAGAGGGAGCAAGGGGAAAAATCAGGGGAAAGAGAAGGGAAAGGTAGATTAGAACGATGACAATACAAAACCAAGACCGACAGTCTTGGGGTCGCCGAAATGAGATGGTGAATCTCCAGCTCCTAAGGGAGTTTCTTACAACGATTCTCTCCCTCTCCTGAGGTCACTCCTTCCTTGATGGGAATCAATACAAGACAGGACCCCTAGATGTCAGATCTTGCCGTTTGAGTACGTTCGCCGCCGGAGCCTTCCGCAACGCTGGTCACTTGCCCTATAGGATCTGCTGTATTGTTGTCCTCGATGATGTCGGGTCCCTGCATCCCATCACCTTGCATTCCGCTCTAGCTGCCCGACTGTAGCACTAGATTGAGCCAGCGCCTTTGGGACTGCACTCTCCTTGGCCTAGTTCCTAATGTAAGGGCCTCAACATAGACCCACCATGATCCCCCTCTATATGCATTGCCCAGCCTTCCACAGCTCCAGAGAACCTCAAAACGTTTGCACAATATATGGCACAACCCCACTGATGGCACGGTATGGGCACCTATCTGCTTCGATATGGAGAACCTAAAACTCCTTGGAATGACGTGTGGCATGACAACTAGTATGCATGAATAATAGTGCTCATGACATAGTCCACTTGCATGGCATTGTTGTGTGTGAGATTCAATGAAATTTTACCTTGAGCAGTATGGCTTCAATTGTAAATATGAACATATTGTCCGGAATTGGTGCTTCATGTACAAATAATAAAAATGATACTTGAAAAATTTGTTAACTGACATTTATAGTATCACATTTGAAAATGTAAATGATCAAAATAGAACTAGATTTTAATTGAGAAATCAAAATCAACTTGTTGCTTTTTTTTAGAGATCAGTTGAGTAACATTAGACAACCTATAAAACATAAAAATCTAGTTCAACCATAGATGGAAAGCTCAATCAACCCTTTGAAAAGGATTTACACGTTGGTGTCAATCCCTCTTATTTTTTTCTAATTAGAGCATCATATTCATTTTTAGTAATTGAAAAAAGAAAACAATGTTGTGAGGGGATGCAAAACTAATAACAAAGGATTGCATCCAAGATATAGGAATTATCTCAAAAAAACTAATACCGGGATGGGTGACCTCTCGAGAAGTTCGGCCCAAGACAGTTATCTCAAAAAAAAAAAAAAAAAAACCTTAAACCCTAAAACCCAAAACCCTTCACCTAATGTCCCATATTAGTCACACTCCTACCTTACTATAGATCAGATCACACGCCGATCCTTATTCTCCCTGACTCGAGAGCTAGTACCCCTAGACCTCCTTTTAGGTTTCAGAATATGTGGACTCGGCACGAAGACTTCCAAAGCTTCGTGCGGAGTCATTGGCATAGAGATATCTCAGACTCTCCTATGGAGAACCTCAGTTACAAACTGAGGAATCTCAAACTTCACCTTAAATGGTGGAACCGGTATGTATACGGGAATATCCACACCCAAGTAGAAGAGTTGAAGAAGGAGCTAGCTGGGGTCGAGAGACAACTGCAGGCTCGATGGATTGACGACACTTGGGCGAGACGAGTTTGAGTGAGTGAGCAACTAGAGGAGGCTGCGCGACGACAGGAGATATATTATCTCCAAAAATCACGCATCTAGTGACTACGCAAGAGTGATAGGAACACACGTTTCTTTCATGCCTCGATTGCACACCGATCTCGATCTGATTATACATCTCTTCTAGAGATGTATGATCAGGAACATCTCGTATGCAGGAGGTAGGAATTGCATACTTTTGTAACCTTCTTGCTTCTCAGCCAATTGAGATCTCTGAGGATATACTCTCATCGATTCCATCCTTAGTTACCCACCAGGAGATCTCATCCATTATGACCATACCTACTAGGGAGGAGATCAAAGAAATGATTTTCTCAATGAGTAGAAACCGAGCACCTGGGCCTGATGATTTTCTAGCAGATTTCTATTCAACATGTTGGGACATCATCGGAACCGATTTAGTTCATGCCATCAAAGAATTCTTCCGCCGCAAAGTCTTCCAACGAAATTGGAAAGCCACCTTTATTACACTCATACCAAAGGTGGTCAACCCAACTTCTTTTAGAGATTTTCGGCACATCAGTCTTTATAATGTGTGCTATAAAGTTGTATCCAAGATCATTACAACACGACTGAGTGTTTTTCTTGATAGGCTCATATCTCCAAAGTAGTGCGGATTTGTTAAGGGACGGCACATTCATGATAACATCATCCTAGTTCACGAACTAGTACAATCCCTTGACCAGGACATCCGTGGTTCCAATGTCATCATCAAACTTGACATGGAAAAGGCTTTTGATAGGATCGAGTGGAATTTTCTTACCGAAGTGCTTCGACGCTTCGGATTCACCGACGAGTTCATTGACCTAGTCTATGCATGCATTAGGGAGAACTATTTCTCCCTATTGGTGAACAACACTTCCACACCTTTCTTCACAGCCACGAGAGGCTTACGACAGGGTGATCCCCTATCACCCACTCTCTTCATATTGGTTGAAGAAGTCCTTAGTCGAACCCTCTCTCAAGCGGTGACACGTGGGCTTATCCAACCATATCATTCGAAGAGGGGTTGCCCAATCATATCGCATTCTTTATTTGTTGATGATGCGATGCTTTTCCTTAATAGGTGTGAAGCATCTATCAGGGGACTCATGACTATTATCTCGAACTACGAGCGGGCCGCAGGTCAACTCGTCAATGCCTCAAAGAGTAGCTTTATGGTTGCATCTTCTACCACCATTAGCACCATACAACGCATACAGAACCTAACAGGGTTCTCGCATGGTCATTACCTTAGATGCCCCATCTTCCTCAGACGCACTCGAGTTCATTACTTTGATTCCCTTTTGTGCAAGTTGAGGAAGAAACTTGACGGATGGAAGCTTTAGCTTCTATCCTCAAGCGGTCGCATCCAATTGATACGCCATGTCCTCATGAGTATGTCCTTGCACCTACTTGCGGTACATGGGGTACCGGACACCGTCTTACGATCTGTGAGACAGATTTATACCTCTTTCTTATAGGATGGTCAACTCGACGGGCCTCATCGTCAACACTGAGTTTCTTGGGAGAAAACATGCCGACCGATGGACGAGGGTGGCCTAGGAATTAGACGCCTTGAGGATATCCTCGATATGCTTCAGAAGAAACTCTTATGCCGGATGAGGACGACGAGATCACCTCTATGGACCTTTGTGCTAGCCAAATACGGCGATTGGGCTAGCCAACTGACCGACATAAAAGGAGGAAAGTGATGGGCAAATTGGTAAAGACATTGGTTGCAGATGAGGCCTTTAATCCGATGGTGAGTGAGACGAAGCACTATCAGTGCTTGGTATGACACTTGGCATACGGATACTCTATTGGCCTCCTCTACCTCCTTTATGTCATCCTAGCCTCGTCTCACGGTGGCTCAACTTCTTGATGGAAATACTAGTGTATTCCTCGAGAGGCACGGACTCTCATTAGATTTATTACCATCTGGGCTTCTATCTCTCACACCCCTAGAGATCTTCAAGAGAGTCTTTGATTCACCGCAGAGCTCTAGGGGTAGCCCCTACTTACGTATTTCCATAGCGTACATGTTATGGGAGATATGAAAGGGGCGAAATCTCTCTCGTTTTGCAAGACGGCTGATGCATGCCTTAGAGATTATGAGGCACGTCACACAATGGCTGCGGAATGCCCATCCTCTAATGTCGTCTGTCGCAACACGCTTAGCCTCTATTTGTGAGGCACTCAAGACTTAGGGAATTCTAGCCTTACGGACCTATACACAAATCACTATGCGGACCATCTATTAGAAACCACTGTCGATAGGACACTTGAAGCTCAATGTAGATGGGGTAGCATGTGAGAACCTTGGACCTGTAGGGGGAGAAGGCATCTTACGAGACCATACAAGGAGTATTATCTTTGCCTTTTCCCACTATTACAACATTCAGACTAACACAGTAGCGGAGGCTATGGCCATCCATGATGGTTTGCTCCTCTGTGAGGAATGCAACCTTCATGGTATCGTCCTAGAATCCGACTGTAGCATGTTAGTTGAAATGTTGCATGCAAGTACTTGCTCTCATTGGCGACTCAGTATGCATTGTCGTGAGAGGATCAGCACCATTACACACCATGGTATCGTTCAGGGTTATGGGTTCAGGGTTCAGGCTTTAGGGTTATGGGTTTAGGGTTTAGGGTTTAGGGTTTAGGGTTCATGGTTTAGGGTACTAATGGGTTGGCAAGTCACAACTAGTTTTATAGGTCTGATGTGTTATAGACCTATAGTCCAAAAGTCGGCAGATGCCAGCATGTGCTGATAGTTCTGTGTGTCCTGAGGGTGATAGATAGTAGATGTGAGGTGATTATGAGGAGAGTAATGATTGGAAGTGGTGTACCCGGGTTGATTGCAATGTGCCTTGTCGTCCGTCTTGTGCTGACATTGACGTTGAATTGCTCCAAGCGATATGCCACTGCTTAGGTGTGGTAGGTAGAAGCTTATGTAACCTCAGAATGAGGTCAAACTTCTAGTACTCAATCAAATTTTTTCATTTCAAAAAAAAAAAAAACAAAACCCTAAACCCTAATCCCATAAGAACTCCGGAGTTAAGCGTGCTCAGGTGGGAGCAGTCCCTGGATGGGTGACCTCCCTCGGAAGTCCCCGGGTACGTGTGCATGCATTGCGAGACGCTTGCTGTGCATGTGCTGAAAGGCACCATGCCGAGAGGCATATGTGGCATCCATCTCACCATGTCAAGACTCCCCCAGCTCCGAAGAATGTGCCGAGAGGCACCCCTACCACCATGCCGAGAGGCAGATGTGCCATCCATCTCACCATGTCAAGACGCCCCCAGCTCCAAAGAATGTGCCGAGAGGCACCCCTGCCACCATGCCGAGAGGCATATGTGGCATCCATCTCACCATGTCAAGACGCCCCCAGCTCCGAAGAATGTGTCTAGAGGCACCCCTGCCACCATGCCGAGAGGTAGATGTGCCATCCATCTCACCATGTCAAGACGCCCCCAGCTCCGAAGAATGTGCCGAGAGGCACCCCTACCACCATGCCGAGAGGTAGATGTGCCATCCATCTCACCATGTCAAGACGCCCCCAGCTCCGAAGAATGTGCCGAGAGGCACCCCTGCCACGATGTCGAGAGGTGCAAGTGGCATCTATCTCCCAAGAATGTGCCTGAGAGGCACCAAAGTGCTTGGGCGTGTGAAGTACCGGGATGGGTGACCTCCCGAGAAGTTCGGCCCAAGACAATTATCCAAAAAAAAAAAAAAAAAAAACCCTGAACCCATAACCCTGAACCAAGGGAAAGGAATTTCTACTTGAAGAAGATATGAAGCTCTTTCTCCGGCGACGACGAGGGTCAGCTTGAGTTCAGCTGAAGGGGCGGCAGACAGAAGACCCGTTGACAGGGAGAGTGAGAGTGAACGAGAGTCACTGGACAGTGAGAGATAGCTCTTCAGTGATTCTGTGTTACACCACCACGCCCATGCAGACTGTGGAGTAATTCTAAGAAAAGCCGTGGTTCCATCACCATCTAACGTTTGAAACTAAGGACTCCCTCTCTGAAGATTACTTCAGGGTTTAGTGTTTAGGGTTGAGGGTTTAGGGTTTTTTTTTTTTTTTTTTTTTTTTTTTGGGATAACTGTCTTGGGCCGAACTTCTCGGGAGGTCACCCATCCCGATACTTCACACGCCCAAGCACTTTGGTGCCTCTCAGGCACATTCTTCGAGGATAGATGCCACTAGCACCTCTCGACATCGTGGCAGGGGGTGCCTCTCGGCACGTTCTTTGGAGATGGGGGCGTCTTGGCATGGTGAGACGGATGCCACATATGCCTCTCGGCATAGTGGTAGGGGTGCCTCTCAGCACGTTCTTCGGAGCTGGGGGCGGGGGTGCCTCTTGGCACGTTCTTCGTGAGCTGGGGGTGTCTTGGCATGGTGAGATGGATGCCACATATGCCTCTCGGCATGGTGGTAGGGGTGCCTCTTGGCACGTTCTTCGGAGCTGAGGGCATCTTGGCATGGTGAGATGGATGCCACATATGCCTCTCGGCATGGTGGCGGGGTGCCTCTCGGCACGTTCTTCAGAGCTCGAGGCATCTTGGCATGGTGAAGGAGGGGTTCGTAACACGTGCCGGGTGGCACGATAATGCAGCAGTGACTTTCAGCACATCAAAAGAAGGCGTCTCGCAATGCATACACACGACCTGAGAACTTCCTAGGGAGGTCACCCATCCGGAAGCTGCTCCCACCCGAGCACACTTAACTCTGAAGTTCTTATGGGATCCATTGGCAACTCTCCCACTTAGCGGGGTTGGGTTTAGGATTTAGGGTTTAGGGTTTAGGTTTTAGGGTTTAGGGTTTAGGGTTTAGGGTTTAGGGTTTAGGGTTTAGGGTTTAGGGTTTAGGGTTTAGGGTTTAGGGTTTAGGGTTTAGGGTTTTTTTTTGGGATAATTGTCTTGAGCCAAATTCTTGGGAGGTCACCCATCCCGGTACTTCACGTGCCCAAGCACTTTGGTGCCTCTCAGGCACATTCTTCGGAGATAGATGCCACATATGCCTCTCGGCATGGTGGCAGGGGTGCCTCTCGGCACGTTGTTCGAAGCTGGGGCGTCTTGGCATGATGAGATAGATGCCACATATGCCTCTCGGTAGGGTGGCAGGGGTGCCTCTCGGCACGTTCTTCGGAGCTGGGGGCGTCTTGGCATGGTGAGATGGTTGCCACATATGCTCTCGACATGGTGGCAGGGGTGCCTCTCGGCACGTTCTTCGGAGCTGGGGGCGTCTTGGCATGGTGAGATGGTTGCCACATATGCCTCTCGGCATGGTGGCAGGGGTGTCTCTCGACACGTTCTTCGAAACTTGAAGCATCTTGGCATGGTGTTGGAGGGGTTTGTAACACGTGCTTGGTGGCACGATAATGCAGCAGCGCCTTTCAGCACATGCAGAGCAAGCGTCTCGCAACGCATGCACACGTACCTTGGGACTTCCCAGGGAGGTCACCCATCCGGTGACTGCTCCCACTTGAGCACGCTTAACTCCGGAGTTCTTTTGGGATCCGGTGGCAACTCTCCCACTTAGGGGGGTTAGGGTTTAGGGTTTAGGGTTTAGGGTTTAGGGTTTAGGGTTTAGGGTTTTAGGGTTTAGGGTTTAGGGTTTAGGGTTTAGGGTTTAGGGTTTAGGGTTTAGGGTTTAGGGTTTAGGGTTTAGGGTTTAGGGTTTAGGGTTTAGGGTTTAGGGTTTAGGGTTTAGGGTTTAGGGTTTGGGGTTTAGGGTTTAGGGTTTAGGGTTTAGGGTTTAGGGTTTTTTTTTTTTTTTTTTTTTTTTTTTTTTTTAAGAAGAAGAAATTTGATTGAGTGATAAAAGTTTGACCTCATTCCGAGGTTACATAAGTAGGATCTCATTCGCACAAGGGGCGAGGATGACATGAAGAATGAAAGACCTCTTTTGAAGAGGGGATGTGATGATACTGGAGATAGACTCCATGACGTTCATCATATTTGAGGAAGGTGATTGATTTGCAGTGGGTTGAAAAAGCCTTTGAGTTCATGAAAGTTGGAAGATCTGCTCAACAGGAGTAGGACGAGAGCTCCATGTTGTGCGCCATGCAATGTTCCTGCAAGACAAGAGTTTGCTGCAGTAAGTGGTTCTAAGAGATAAATAAATTGATATAAAGTGGTGAGAAAAGAGTGATTAGGGCAGTGAGGAGGATAGAACTATGCTGAAGCATGACAATAAGCCCAAATATGAACTTACCTTGCTAGTGTTGCACGCGCCTAATCCCTCTGACCAAGATCTTGTTAGTATCATCAGTTGCCGTACTTCCTCTAAGTAGGTAAGGGACCTTTCACCCCACGAGGAATGACTTGGTCTCTGGTTCTAACTCTTTTCTTTTCTCTTATTCTCTCTCTCTTCTTTCTCTCTCCTTGAGGGCCTCTTCTTTTACCCTCCACTAATGCCCATTATTTGGTGTACATTAGGCTAGTGATTAAGGGAAGGGAAAAAGGTTGCCCTTTTTTTTTTTTTTTTTTTTTGGTTTTAGGGCCCTTTCCCTCACCCTCCACTAATTGTCTATGATGGGCTAGTGATTCCGGGAAAAGAAGTAGGCTGTCTTTTTTTTTTTTTTTTTTTTTTTTTCCTAGAGAGAGAAAGGGAGGGAGAAAGAAATAGAGAATCGAGAGAGAGAGAGAGGAGAGAGGGTCAATCCTATGGATATAGATCTTTACCTTCTCATGGGTTCAAGCTGGCTGATGGTACTAATAAGATCTTGAGAGAGGTGCTAGGTTGCCGATTCACAACTAGTTTGGCAGGTCTGATGTGCTATAGACCTATAGTTCAAAAGTGGGCCGATGCCAACATATGCTGATAGTTCTATGTCCTCACTACTTAAGCATGATAGATAGTAGATGTGATGTGATTATGAGGAGAGTAATGATTGGAAGTAATGTACCCGAGTGGATTACGATGTGCCTTGTTGTCCGTGTTGTGCTGTATCTCCATTGTGGTCTTCAGCGGCCAATAGTAACCACCCCTGATCTCCTCCAAGCAATACGCCACTGTCGTGGAGAGGCCGGTAGTGGAGTGCGGTGTATACGTAAAGAGGGTATGCCGAGTCGCTCAAGTCTATGAGCACCTCGGGCTTCCAGGGGCATGTCCTGCCAAAAAGAGAAGACTGTCCTCCGACGCGATCTGACTCCATGCGCAGCAAGGGCGTCAGCTGTCTTATTCCCTTCTCGGAATTGATGCGTAATAGTTGTGATGCGTCCTCGACATCGCATGATGTCTGCCCAGATATTCTTGAGCCTCCAATGAGGACAAGAGTCTGCACGTAACATGTCCACTAACACTTTGGAATCAGATTCTAAGACAATGTTAGTAATATTTTGCTCCTCACAAAGAAACAAACCATCCCGTATTGCCATAGCCTCTGCCACAGTATTAGTTTGTATATTATAAAAGTTCGAAAAGGCAAAGAGAATGCATCCTGTACTATCGCGTAAGATACCGCCTCCTCCAGATGATCCTGGGTTGCCTTGAGATGCTCCGTCGACGTTGAGTTTCCACTGTCCAGCCCTCGGTGGTGTCCATCTAATAGATCGGACAGTAGTCCAGGTCTGTGTAGGTATGATATGGAGTCCCCAAAGCCCAAAAGCCTCACAAACAGAACGCGAGCGTTTCGTTTTATTTGGCACTAAGGAATGAGTACTCCGAAGCCATTGTGTTACGTGCCTCATAATCTCTGTGGCACGCATCACTTGGCCTGCATATCGAGATGAGTTACGTCCCTTCCATATTTCCCATAACATATATGCTATGGAGATACGGATGAAAGGACAAACCTTGACACTCGTCGGTGAGTCAAAGACTCTCCTAAAGACCTCTAGTGGTGGTCTCGTAGGTCTGTACGAGAGCATTGGAAGCCAATTCGCTAGAAGTTGACGCCAACACTCGACAGCGATATCACTATGGAAAAATAAATGTTCCATACTTTCGTCTGTCGTGATGGAGCAACAATGACATTTCCTTTCCACCTCCTGATCGGTGACAATCACTCGATCGTCGGTGGGTAGTGCTCGGTGCATGAACTTCCACAGGAAGAACGAAACACGAGGTGTGATGGCCGGATGCCATATGAGATTTCCCCAAAATGTCTTTGGGGAGCGGTTTCTAAAGTGCTCCCAAGAGGAGCTACAAGAGAAACTGCCATCTATGGTAAGTGTCCAGATGGGTTGGTCCTCAGTAAAACTCATCTCAGTCATGGTGATGGCTGGTAACAAGTCCGACGGTAGTCCATGCCTCTCAATAAGTAGACGAGTGTCTCCTTGGAGAAGCTGGGCTACCGTCAAGCGAGGCCAAGAAGATGTGAAAGTGGTAAAACAGGCCAATGGTGTGTCCTCTAGCCAAGTGTCGTACCAGGCACTGATCTCGCCTCGCCCCACTCGCCAACGAATAAGAGGCACCATCTCCAACCAATGTCGCTGCCAGTCTGCCCATCATTTGACTCCTTTGATGTCAGCCGGCTGTCGAGCCCACTCACCATATTTGGCTGACACAAAAGTACCTAGCACCGATGGTGTGGTCCTCATCCTCCAAATGAGTTTCTTTTGAAGCATGTGAAGTACATCTTGAGGGCGCCTAATACCTAGGCCACCCTCATCCGTAGGTCGACATGCTTTCTCCCAAGAAACTCGGCGTTGACGACGAGGTCCCTCAAGTTGTCCATCCCAAAGGAAGGACATACATATCCGTCTAATAGTCTGTAAGACGGTGTCTGGTACCTCATGGACTGCCAAAAGGTGTAATGGTATGCTCATGAGGACATGGCGTATCAACTGGATCCGTCCTCCAGGGGATAGAAGTTGTAACTTCCATCCTGCTAGTTTCTTCCTTACCTTGCCCACTAGGGCGTCAAAATAGTGTATGCGCCTACGGCCGAGGAAGATAGGACATCCTAGATAGTCAAAAGGTAAGTGTCCACGAGAGAACCCTGTTAGGCCCTGGATGCGTCGTATGGTCCCTATGGGAGTAGAAGGGGCTACTATGAAGCTACTCTTCGAGGCATTTACGAGTTGACCTGCAGCTCGCTCATACCTCGAGATAATACTCATGAGCCCTCTAATGGATGTCTCACCTCCATTGAGGAAGAGTATCGCATCATCAGCAAAGAGGGAGTGTGAAATGATCGGGCAACCCCTCTTCGAGTAGTATGGTCGGATAAGTCCTTGATTGATCGCTCGGGTGAGGGATCGACTGAGGACTTCTTCAACTAAGATGAAGAGGGTGGGTGATAGTGGATCGCCCTGTCGTAGACCTCTCGTGGCCGTGAAGAATGGTGTGGAGCTACCGTTCACTAATAAAGAGAAATGATTCTCCCTAACACATGCATCGACTAAGTCAATGAAGTCGTCGGTGAACCCAAAGCATCTAAGAACCTTAATGAGGAAACTCCACTCTATCCTATCAAAGGCCTTCTCCATGTCTAATTTGATGATGATGTTAGAGCCTCGACAATCATGGCCAAGGGACTGTGCTAGTTCATGTACTAGCATGATGTTATCGTGAATGTACCGTCCCTTGACAAATCCACATTGTTCTGGAGATATAAGTCTATCAAAGAAACTACTCAATCTACGTGTAACGATCTTAGATACAACTTTATAACACACGTTACACAAACTGATAGGTCGAAAGTCTCTAAATGAGGTTGGGGTAGTCACCTTCGATATAAGTGCAAGGAAGGTGGCCTTCCAACTTCGTGTAAAGAGTTTACGACGAAAGATTTCCTTGATGGCCTGGATGAGATCAGTGCCAACGATATCCCAACATGAAATGTAAAAATCAGCTGGGAAACCATCTGGCCCGGGTGCACGATGTCTGCTCATAGAGAAAACTACTTCCTTGATCTCTTCTCCCGTGGGTATGGCTGTTATGAGAGAGTTCTCACGGTGAGTGACCAATGACGGGATCGAAGTGAGCATATCATCAGAAATCTCAATCGGCTGAGAGGTTAAGAGAGTACGAAAGTACTCAACCCCTGCCTCCTGCATGCGGGAAAGGTCATGATCATATGTCTCTAAAAGAGAGGTATAATCTGAACGTGAGCGATGAGCGACCGAGGCATGAAAGAAACGAGTGTTTCTATCACCCTCTTGTAACCACTAGATGCGTGATTTCTGGAGATAGAATAACTCCTGTCGTCGCACAACCTCATCAAGCTGGTCACTCACTCTACTCCTCCTTTCCCAAGCAGCATCTGAATATCTAGCTTGCAGTAGTCTTTCAACTTCTGCTAACTCTTTTTGCAATGCATCAACTTGGGTATGGACATTCCCATAGATATGTCGGTTCCACCATTTAAGGTGGAGTTTGAGATTCCTTAACCTATAGCTAAGGTTCTCCATAGGAGAATCTGAGATCTGTCCGTACCAGTGATTCCGTACGAAACTCTGAAAGTTTTCATGTTGGAGCCACATGGTTTGAAATCTGAAGGGGGGTCTGTGGGTGCTCATACTCTGTTTAGGGAGTATAAGGATCGGGGTGTGATCTGACCTATAACGGGGTAATATCGTGACTAATATGGGATGTCGCATCATGGCGATGCTGTTGATGAAACAACGATCGATACGCTCATAAATCAAAGCGTCCCCTCGATTGTTGCTCCACGTCCATGCCTCGCCTGATGTAGGTGGCTCAATAAGAGCTAATCGAAAAATACAGTCATTGAACATCTCCATGTTACGGGCCCTAGGGATTCGCCCACCTTGACGTTCACTAGTATTACGGACACAGTTGAAGTCACCTGCTAGGTACCAAGGAGACTCAACTAGTGTAGGGTAGTCCCTCACGTATTGAACTAGGTCCGCCCAAAGAGTTTCTCTTTCTTCGGATCTATGTGATGCATAGATGACCGAGAAGGTGAACTCTTGGGTGAGATCTCGAGCCGTCATAGTGATATGCTGGGGTCCCTCGACTAGCAACTCCATAGAGTATGGTCTAGTCCAAAAGATCCAAATATGATTCGTGGGGTTGGAGTGAAAATGATCCATACCTAACCTCCTAAGTAAGGGTTGGATACGATCTGATGATATCATAGGCTCAATGAGGCCTACTATACCTAGTCGATACTGTCTGATAAGGCTAGCTATATAGAATTGGGTTTCGAGGTTGCCTATACCTCGACAATTCCATATGATGCTAGGTATCATGATCTAGTGAGTGGCCCCACGAGTCCTAGATCTCGTGGAGTAAGGTGAGCGTCTAGTGAGTCGTGTGGTCCTAACCTCCGTCTGATATCCCTCCTCTAGGTAGGTAGTCTCAATGTCAGTCTCAGAGCTACCATCCTCATGGGTACTAGTCGTGTGGCCCGTAGTATCATGAGCACTAGATGAGGAGGATGGGTGTGGTGCTTGACGATTCGTTAAGCACTGTCCTCTATCGGGGCTCTCCCTAGAATCAGCGGGTGGTGGATCAAGTATAGGAAACTGATCTGACGGTTGTAATAGGGGAGAGGGGGGGAGGGTATAAGAATCAGAATGGGGGGCTATGTAAGATGTACTAATAGGAAGTATGCTGGGGGTAGACCCTCCTAATAGATCATCAACGGGGATTTGAGGCGGATGGATAGGGCCCAAGCCTATACCCTCAGAGAAAGGGGTAGACCTCGGTCGGTGGGGACTAAGAGGTGAAGGACTCCTTCTACGTGGGGACGAGTGAATGGGCGGGGAGGAGCTGGGTGGTGGAGAGACACTAATGGGTGGAGTGGGGTGGGTGAGTATGGGGGGTCGGATAACCCGGGGGGATCTAGTATGGGGGGTTGGACTAGGTGAGTCCCTCGTAGTGGAGGATGCTAGCCCTTTGGAAGGCCTAGTTCCCCTTTGTGCAGGTCCCTCAAAGTCTCTCTCATCTAAAGCCCCTAAGACCTCGAAGGTGTTTGAGGTTAGGGGTTGCTTTCCCTTGCTCAAAGGGGAAGGTGTAGCCTCTCGTGTTCCTTTCTTCCCCCCTGTGTAGGTGGAAGAAGGGCGTCCAGCTGCCGGCTTTCGCCGTGCATGCTGTGTCTCAATCAGTGAGCTAGGCTTCTCCTGTGCCTTCCGAGGTAAGGAAGGTGGAGCCGCCATAGGGGCAATCGACCTCTGAGGAGGACGAGCACTCTGAGCATCCTTTCTCATTTTGACGAGGTAATCGTCATATGAGATCGGTACTAGAAAGGCTCGTGTGGTCGTCTGTGGTGTACATGCCTTCTGACGGCATGTGCTGACAGTGTGGCCCAAGATCGCACAGTGTGTGCAGAAATACGGTAGTCTCTCATAAATGATGGGCTGATAAAGTTCATCATCTCCACTACGTATAACGAGAGTCCTCTGGAGGGGAGCCATTAGGTCCACCTCTATACAAACTCGTGCATATCCGGGTCGGTTGAACATTTTTACGCCTGGATCAAGGCATATGAATGTTCCCACCGCATTTGCCAAAGACTCAAGTGCCTTTGGCGTAAATAAATGGGCAGGTAGGCCAGGGAAGCCCACCCATAATGGAACCACATGAGACTGATGTGCTTGGTGCCCTATGTCATTTTGTGGTGTCCATCTGTGGGTATGGAGGGTAGACTCCCCCATTCTCCAAGTGGGTCGGCTCCATGCTCGGCGCTAATCCGCTTCTAGCTCAAAGCGGATGTATATGCTACGATAGTCTCGAGCTCCGATGGAGACTCGGCCCTGAAAATTTCCAGGTGCCATGTAAATCTTCTCTATGTCACCTATGGTTGGTCGTTTCGTAGTGAAACGACCAACTAAGGTATATTGGAATGCGGCTGCCATCTGGGAGACCTCCTCATAAGTAAAAGCTATTGTCCTCCTCCCATCATCATCGCTATAGCTTCGCACTGGGACAGTGGTATCATAGATTGGGAATAGTACATGACGTAGCGGTTCCTGTGGTGTGACAGTCTTTGTGGAGGGGACAAAGGGGTTAGACACTCGTTGCGCCCATGATAGGTGTCTAGTGGGTATAGTC